GATACAAAGTGTGGTTTGTTGCTTCATTAATTTATTAATTCATTAATTCATTAATTCATTAATTCATTAATTCATCCCACGTGGGTTATTACGTCAGTAAACCGATACAAAGTGTGGTTTGTTGCTTCATTAATTTTCATATTTGTAAAAAGTAATTAGTTACAGAGAAAATGAAAAAGAAAATTACACATCTCATTCCGACTGGCGATTAATGGTTTGATTTTCCTTAAAAATGAAAAAAACTTCGCTGACATTACATTCATTAGAAAATTAAACCCATATGACCACCGCCATAACGGCCATCGTTCAATCTATTCATTTAGTAAAAACAACAACTCTGGATTTTCGTTACTTTCATCTTCCTGTGTACATGAAGATCGAAGAAATGCTTAAACTAAAGTCATCAGTTTTTAATCAATTTAATGTCATTTTAAGTATGACAAAAGTACTTGCTTGTTTAATATCATAATTGCTTTTACATTCATTGAAATTTGTCTTTGTTTCCCTGTAATTTAAAACAATTCAATGGTTTTAGCTGATCACTTGCTTATTTCATAGCGTGATTTCAACGATCTGAGATGATGATTACTTCTTACTTTTGTCAGAACACTTTTCTCATTAAATGAAACTTCAGGCCTACCGTTTCATTCCTTTTCGTTGCTGACAAGGATACGAATTTAATTTTATATCTGGAATGGCTGCAGCGGACGAATAAAAGATATCTTTAGAACGAGATGAAAAAATGAAAGACACAACGTGAAAGTTCATTTCAATCAATCAATCTATCAATCAATCAGTTGTGAGTTCTTAATAAGTCTAGCGAACTCTCTCTCCTAGGATCTAGAAAGGGAAATTGCTTTCCACCTTCCTAAGCATAGAGAGGAAATCTGACCCTTTTCCTTTCTTTCCTCTGAAAATTCCAACTTGGGTAGGCAGGTGTGAAGTGAAAAAACCTAGATGTTTATGAATTGTAATTTCGATCTGCGCGGTAAATCGTTTCGCGTATGCTCTGATGCCCTTTCGTTTAGCCCTATTTCAAACTCGTTTCAAAGCCTCCTCGGTTTTTAAAATGGCGGTTATCTTACAGCGATCGGCCACACATTAGGGAGCTTAAGCAGGAGAGACTTCGGGGACGACGCCGCCGTCAGATTCCCGACGGCCTGGGTTTGACGTCGTCACTCTCCCGCCAAATGTTAATTTGTTAAGCACGGATGCTGTTTTGCCAGGATGCGGCCATCCTCTGTTCCTGATATACTTTTGTTTCTGCTCCGGTTATGGCCAGTTTTAAAGAGTTTCGTCAGACCCTTCTTCTCTGCTACGATGCTGATCTTATTAGTGATGAAGGCTTTTACATGAT